GGCAGTGACAGAGCTCCAGAGATTTTTCAGTATGTCTGAAGCAGGGGTGTTCCTAGACATAAAGCTCTATTGGGGCACAGGCCCCCTCATCCTCCATGTAAATGTTTGATTTATTTTTGATTGAAGTGTATGAAATGTATTAATATGTGCCTCACCAGCTTCCGTTGCTTAGCTCATTTATATTGGCTCTGTCAGAAAGGGCGTTGACCGGAGCAAAAGCACCTAAGAAGAATTCTGTCATGGCCGTCCTACCTGACTTGTGAGCCATGTACACAATTTGCCATTGCTGCACAGTCACACTGCAGTGCTCTCACTACTACCTCTCCTTTAATACAATCTGTCTCTGTGATAAGCCTGAATGGAAAACTCTTCCTCATAAAGTCTGTTAAGACTGATGCTGGCTGTACATCTCTGGCTGTGCTCGTACTAGCTGAGACCGTTTGTATTTCACCTGGGTCTGTGCTGGTATTGGATTTGGATCAACTGTGCTTGTACTGGCTTATGATCCAGCATCTACTTTACCGATAAATTTAAGCATAGCCCCTGAAATTATAAATATCAATACTTGCTAGATATTAATGTTGCAGTGGCATCAGGCCCATTCAAGCTGGCTCCCAGTTTTCCTTTAACACTTTTTAAGCTAAAATACTATTTATACTAGGGCTGAGCGATATGGAAAAAAATGTTATCATCAAAAGATTTTCATATCATTCGATATTGAAAATGATCAGGATTAAATGTCACATCATTACTTCTATTGAGTTTAAAGTCTGATTTTGGATACTTTGGAAACCAGATGGTTAATTGATGTTTTCAACAAATGTACACAAGTAAAATTAAGTTAAATATATTTTGTGTTCCTTTTTCCTCAACAAAATAAATATCTTAACAGAAAAAGTAAGTGCTAATTCATTCATGATTCACATGAATAAGAGCAAGCATTTATTGAATATTTATTGAACATTTGTTATATTGTTATTGAGGAAAATTATACTTAATTATTGTTATTGTTTTATTGTCCAGCTCTAATTTATACTATGACTTGACCGAATAAGTGATGTTTTTTATTTACTGAGAGATGTACATCCATAGCCTATTGCCCAGTCTGAGTTGCTAATAACATTTTAATAGTCAGTGTGAATCCACTGCTTTCCTTCTTGCATTAGTCCAGAGTTGTAACTAAACCTTCACTGAGAGACAGATAATCATTGTTTTAAAATGATGTGAGCCATCACATCTGTGAGCTGTCTGGACTGGTCCCACTAATGTTACTGCTGGAATGCAATAAGGTCGAGTTTAATTTCGTGCACACACTTACGAGCGCATGTTCACGCGTTTCATCATTTCCTTGCTGCAGTTTATAAACATTGCCCGTTGCCGTTTATCAAGCTTAATAATTAGTACTGTTTCACTCTAAAATTGTTCAGCTACAGTCTGGCAAGCTACCAAGACACAGACTGACGTAGCTGCACTGCCCAGTTGGGTTAGCAGGACAGACAGAGAAAGATTCACTGCAGCTGCACATGAACCTGCTCACATCAGACTTTCAGAAAAGAGGACACAAGTTTACGTGACTGCTGTTCACAAAAGTCACGCTCATTGGGTTTTTTTTCTCTTCTTGTGCACAGAAGGATAGTCCCCGTTTGTCCTCTCATCACTGTTATAAACACCCGCTTTCAACAATGACTCGTTTTTTGCGACGTTTCATTTCGTTAACTGGCTTACCCTCTGCTTCACATTAACCAGTAGTTTTATTTTGAAAGTGTAACCGGACGTTGCAGATGCAGCCAATTGTTGCTAACTTGACCGCAGAGCACTACACGTACAAAACCAACGCCAAGGGGTCTTGACAATTTCACTGGGGCACAGCACATAGAGACAGGGGCTCGGGCCCCAGGAAAAAGGGTCCAGCAACACCTATGGTATAAAGTGTGATCGTATTTAGTTTTTGTAAGAGTGCTCAGGGAAACTTGATCAAAGAAAATTGCTTTATAGCAAATACACTGTAAGTTTCGGAATGAAATAAAATGTCATGGTTTGTCTGTCAAACTTGCTATTTCTGTATGCATTGTGTGTCTGCAGACTGTATTCGCCTGCTTCACGTAACACATTATCTAGTTTGGCTAAAACTTGGTGAAATGGTTTCACTGTCTATCAGTACTTTTCGACATTTTCAGCACATTTGAACAATACCACCATAATACTGATGAGAGTGATAATTTTGGTCACCATAATCATGATGGGAAATTTTCAAACTGTTTCATCTCTAGTAGTCATTAGCTAAATTATTTATACATTTTTAGTTCTGACAGCTTCCAGCTAACCAATAACATTTACAATCCGTACACATAAGATGGATCCTGACCTTCTGCAGATGTTTGAAGTTGAAGGATGTAGACATAAAATCGCTGAGTAGCAGATCCCAGGGAGTTGGAGCTGCAGCAGAGCAAGGTGGAAAGATTTGGCTGACTCACAGTGATGAAGCTCCTCAGGCTTGTGTCATTTAGAAATTCATTGCTGACTGCAATCTTGTCAGAGTGATTGACATGTAATCCATCCAAATACCACTGTAAAGTGGGAGAGGGGTTCCCTGAAGTCTCACAGGAACAGTTGAACTGACTTGCAGTTTTGGTTTTAGTGCAATCAGATGAGGGCAGGATCTGTGGTGCAACTGTAATGAGAGGACAGACACGTTAAAGGTGCAGTGTGCAAATGAGATTACTCTGAATTCTAACTCCAAAAAAATAAGGGGCAGCATATCACATATCTATTACTGCTGCAAACCGCCATTCGCTAGTTATCTCAGCTGAGCAGCTAACTTAGCAGCCCTAACACTACATGTCTAAATTACTGTAAGTAATGAGTAGATAAAATTAAGAGCTTTACTTGACTATAAATACCTGAATGATGTGATACTTAAGCTGATGATACACAGAGCAACTTTTAGAGCAGTGGTGCTGGGCAATGGTAATGGGTAAAGATTACTACCATAATCCCCTTACCACAGCACTCCGCCACCCGCCCCGCGGATCCATTCAAAACATAGTGGGACTTGCCACCAGCGAGATTGCCCAGCAACATTGCCCAGTGGAAATTTCCAACATCAAAGTGTTCCAGGTTCCAGGTGTATGAGGCCAAACGTAACAAAATACATTGCTGATGTGACAAACTGATGTTTCTTTGTCAACACACAATTGAACCCTCAGCAGTGCTTTTGGTGTTAATTTAAAAGATGACAAGTGATAAAAATATACGTAACTGTTTTCCCATCTAGTTACATTGGCTGTTAATCTGAAAAAGTGTTGAAGGCCTATATTTCCTAATGTTTTGACATTTCTTGTCATCTTTAATGTTTTATGAATAACTTGTGTGCAGAGAAGATGACTTTCAGAGATTGTTTACTGTAATCAGCATCCTAAGAACATTTGTGACATATGTTGATACCAATTTACCTAAAGAACAGGTTTTAATATATGATAGTGTTTATCTTAATTAATGCAAATAAATTTTGTTGCCTTTTAGTTGATGGTTTACCATTTACACTATTCAATTTTATTTATATAGCGCCAAATTACAACAACAGTTATCTCACAGCGCTTTTCATAAAGAGCAGGTCTAGACCGTACTCTATGATTATTTACAGAAGCCCAACAATTCCCACCAAGAGCAAGCACTAGGCGACAGAGGCAAGGAAAAACTTCCTTTTAAGAGGCAGAAACCTCGAGCAGAACCATGGCTCAGGGTGGCGGCCATCTGCCTCGACCGGTTGGGGGTGAAGGAGAGAGAGAGAGAGAGAGAGGGAGAGGGCAAGAGAGGAACAGAGAGAAAAGAGAGGGACGCAAGGAGAGAGAGAGGAGGGAGGCAGCCTACACAATACACACAGAGGTACACAGTAAAGGTGATGTTGCTATAGACTAAATGAAAAATGGTACAGATATTTATAGTAGTGTTAATGATAACAGTCGTAATATTAATGATTATAATAACAATAATAACAATAGGACTAGTAACAATAGTCGTTGCAGCAGAGGGTGTGAGCAGGAACACGGGGGCAGCAGGTGACCCGCAGCCACAGATCCAGACTCCACAGCTCCAGAGCCAGAAAACCTGCAGGAAGTGATAGGAGGAGAGAGAGAGGACGAGAAAGCACAAGACTACCGGAAAGGGGAGAAGTTGTGTTAGTAACATGCAATAATGGGATGAGGTTGCATACAGAGGGAGAGAAAGTAGAGGAGAGAGGAGCTCAGTGCATCATGGGAAATCCCCCGGCAGTCTAGGCCTATAGCAGCATAACGAAGGGATGGTTCAGGACTCACCTGAGCCAGCCCTAACTATAAGCTTTATTAGAGGAAAGTCTTAAGCCTACTCTTAAATGTGGATGGTGTCTGCCTCCTGAACCCAAACTGGAACCTGGTTCCACAGGAGAGGAGCTTGATAGCTGAACGCTCTGGCTCCTAGTCTACTTTTGGAGACTCTAGGAACCACAAGTAACCCTGCATTCTGGGAGCGCAGTGCTCTGGTGGGGTAGTAAGGTACTGTGAGCTCTTTAAGATAAGATGGTGCCTGACCATTAAGAGCTTTGTAGGTAAGAAGAATGATTTTAAATTCTATTCTGGATTTTACTGGAAGCCAATGCAGAGAAGCTAAAACAGGAGAAATGTGATCTCTTTTCCTGGTTCCTGTCAGAACACGTTCTGCAGCATTCTGGATCAGCTGAAGAGTCTTAATGCACTTCTTTTTCGAGCAGCCTGATAATAAAGAATTGCAGTAATCCAGCCTAGAAGTAACAAATGCATGGACTAGTTTTTCTGCATCATTTTTAGACAGGATGTTCCTGATTTTCGCAATATTACGTAGGTGAAAAAAGGCAGTTCTTGAAATTTTCTTAATGTGAGACTTAAACGACATGTCCTGATCAAAGATAACTCCAAGTTTCCTCACAGTGTTGCTGGAGGCCAGGACGATGCCATCAAGGGAAACTATATCTTTAGATAATGCGTCACGGAGGTGTTTGGGCCCCAGAACAATAACTTCAGTTTTATCTGAGTTTAACATTAGAAAATTACAGGTCATCCAGGTTTTAACATCCCGAAGGCACATTTGAAGTTTAGCTACACTATGCGTTTCCATGGATGCTGCCATTGTTGTTTGATGTCAGACAACTGCCTTTTCATGAAGTCAGGGTAGATGGATTTATTAATTTTTACCATCTATCTTGTAAAAAATTACCATGACCGCTTATCAGAAGTTGATCGACTAATGAATTAATCGACTAATTCAACCCTAATTCAAACTAAGTCAAGAAAACTAAGATCAATCATAATTTTTATAATTATAATGAAAGAGGAACTCACATGAAATATCAGCTGTTAATCTTGTGGTAACAGATGACTCAGTGCTGCCATCTTGTTTGTTGTATACTGCGGTACAGGAGATTTCTTGTCTGTGATGGAGGTGAGAGGCAGTGAAGGTCAGAACAGAGGTCTTGAATTTAGTTTTGTCCTGATTCTCCTGCAGTGTCTCATCAATGTCACCAAGGCTGGGGGTCCATGTCAGAGTTGGAGGATGAGACAGACAGGGAGCTGGAGCAGAACACGTCACATTCACTGAGGTTCCCTCCTTCACCTTCAGTGTGGACGGAGTCAGAGTTGGTCTGGGAGGACCATCTGGTGGGAAGGTACATTTTGACCTGTCAAAAAAATCTTTAATACTATTTTCAAAATGCAATAAATGCAAATCAAGGCAAGTAATTACGGAAGTGTGAGTATTTACCTTGGACTGCAATTTCCAATTTTTGGAGAAACCATATTTTAGGGCGTTGTTGCATTCCACTCTGAAGGAATATTTCTTGCTGTGTTCAGGTTGCATGTTATTCAGAGTTGTGGTGCAGTCTTTTTTTATTAGGTCTCCTGTCAATTCTCCTTTTATTGTAGTTTGTTGTGGAGCACTGCTATTAAACACAACAGTGTCTTGATCATTTTTCCATAATGCTTTACATGTGTTATCCAAGTTTGATTCATAGTTGTTCTCTACATCAAAAGAGCAGGGGATGGTCACACAGGATCCTCTCAGAACCTGTATAGTCTGCGGCACAGTGACCCCAAACTGTCCACACAAGGCACCTGAAACACAACACACAAATCTTTGAATAAGAACAAGTGAATACTACTTTACAGTGATGAGGACATTTTACTGTTAAGTTGTTTGCTAAATTCTTAGCACAGTACCTTATTAATTAAATAATTCAAAATGATGACTGTAAACATTCTGATTTGTTTGTTTTCTAAATGTTTAGATTAAATAACAAACTTAAAACCCATCAAATTAAAGTTTTAATAAAAAGTCTGCTGAACACTTCTTCTCACTGTGTACTTCATGCTACAGTATGTATTACAGATATTGTAGTACTATGGAGTGAATGCTTGACAAACATTGTGTTGTTTTTAATAGTCATTACTCTAAATGTTATTAAACGTCAACTCACTTTGCAGCAGACAGCCAATGAGATGGAGAGTCAGACCTGCAGCCATCTATGTGTTAGGAAAGGCAGAAACTATGGAGGTTACACATGGAACAATTCAGGTTTTGTGCATTTCGTCTGTAATTAATTCTCATTTTAAGAGAATGGTTTATTTGGAGGCCACTATCTAATTCAATATTTGCAGCCCTTAGTAACATTCACTTTGTTAAAACATGCTGCTTTTCTTACACTAGACAAAGAAGATGAAATGGTGATAAAAAGATAAAACAGCAAGCTTTACTGTTTGCTAAAGACAAAAGTGAGAAACATGGTGTCTTTCATTTGTTTATTTTCTATTTATTTACAAAGCTATATTTAGTTTTAGGCAACTGATATATGCAACAGTAATAATGCCCAAACACCTTAAAATTTCTAAAGTTTTAAATAGTCAAATGACTTATTGTTTACGTTTTGCAGAAGTGTGTATTATGTATTCAAAATAAATGTTTATGATTTCATATAAAAGTTATGATGACTTACATTTTGTTCAGGTCTTTTGAGCAGATGAAAGATGAAAGTGTAGAGAGGTGAAGTTCCTTCAAAGTTGTGCTGCTTTTTCCAACAGCCTGCAAGAAATAACTTGTAAATGAGGAAGTCACAAAAGTGTACACGCATGTCACAATGAAATGTACTTTTATCAGAAACTGTTTTCAACAGGTTGGTTCCGTAGTCTGTTTGTGAGTCTGCCTGAGGGGAGGGTGGTGAAGAAGGGGTTTCCGGGGTGTGAGGAGTCCTGCTGGATGTTTTTTTGTTATATATTATTGTATTATATGTATTATATAAAAGATCTCAGGGTCCTCAGAAAGAACAGCATTTAAACGTTGTTAAAGAGTAACACCTATTTCCAGGGAATTGGCAATAATAGATTTCTTGAATATCAACAGGTTAAATCCATAATGGGTACTAGGGGCTTTGTGCGTCTGGTGGCCTCCTGGGGCTGGGGGCTGTTGCTGCTGTTGTGGGGTGGCTGCTGTTCCTTTCCTTTGGGGGGTGGAGGGTGTGTGTGTGGGGGGTGCTTTTTCACTGCTGGGGCGGAAGGGGAGCATGGGTTGGGGTTGGCGGGCTTCTGGCCTGGGCTGGGTGGCCTTGCTTCCTGGGTTTGGGCGGGGCTGCAGGTCTGGGCCCTGGGGGCTGTTGGGACACTCTGTCCCTGGGCGGGGTTCCTGCCTCTCCGGGCCTTTTCCTTTGTGGAGGGGGCTCGTGCCTGCCCCGATAGTCTAGTGGTAGTGCTCCGGGGTGTGCTGGCATGCCTGCAGATTGTGTGGGGGAGGTAGGGTGGGGGGCTGACTGACTGTCGGGGGGGGCCCTGGCGAAAGGGGAGGTTGGTTGGCTTCAGGTGTGGGGCTGTGCTGAGCTGCCTCGGGGATGTGTGGGGTCCATTTGTTCGGGGCTTTGGATCTCTAGGTCTGCACACTGGGGGGGCTGGGATCCCCTGGACCTACCCTATAGGGCTCGGCAGGGTTGTCGCTGGCTCATGTTAGCGGTGTTCAAGGGGCTCGTGCTACAAGCCCTGGGCTGGAGGGACCTGGCATCCTCTTGCATAGGGGTGTGGGGGATGGGGCTGAATGCTGGGGCCAATCAGGAACCTGGTCCCTGTGGGGAGGACCAGTCTAGCCTCCCTATGACCTCCTCCACCTTACACCTTTGGTTATGTCGCAGGCTGTGAGGCGGTCGGTGGGCGGGGCAGTTGGGGGCTGCTGGCTTTGCCTGCACTGGGCCTCTGGCTGGGTGGAGGGGCTGTCGTCCCTGGTTCTCCCGCATTCTTGCTCCCTGGTGAATGGGGAGGAGCTCCTCATTACAGCTCTCTGCTGTTCTCCCTTGGGGCAGGGTATAGCTGTCTCCAGGACATGTGGTCTCGGGTCCTTTGCACTTTCGGAGGATCCCAGGGTGCCCTGGCTACTGGATGCGGAGCTGTTGTGGCTTCCTATTCTCACTAACAACTACATTCTGCGACAGGTTTATGCGCACACACACACACACACACAAACAAATTTAGGTTGTCCATGGCTGTCACAGGCAGAACACTATTGTGTTTGTAAGAAAACATGTCTATACAACCACGTTATAAATAACATAAAGTATCCAAAATATTAATAAATACAACATTGATCAACATTCCTATGACCAAAGAACTCCCATGGTTTACAGGCCAAGAACTTCCAAGAACCGAACATCCATCAGTGTTGGATATTCATCTTGAGCAGAGTTTTCATTTGGTATATTGCATGTCTGTGTAACTACTACAAGTCGGCCACCAGACAGCAATAAAGACTGTGTGTTCCAAAGCAAAACATGGAAGCTGGCAGAGCTCAGAGAGGTATTGTGCTATACTAAAATGGCGTGGCGGCAGCGATTTTGTAAACAACAGTGCAGTTTTTGGACTGACAACGGCAAAAGTAAATCAGCGGTTATGTGTATTGTATATTATTATACAATTATTATTTTTATATAATAGTATATGTATATTGGTGCATTTGTTGTAATGGCTGTCCGGCTAATTACTGATATGATGAGTTACACAGCTCATCTCAGGAGGCTCTAAGCTTTAAAATGACTGGTCAGAAGTGAGTGCAAGATGAGATGAGATATGTCTGGATGGTTATAACTACAGGCATGTGCAGTGTTCACAGAGCGAAATATGTTGTGATATAAGCTCATTTAGATGCTTGCTGTTTGATGTGTGTGGATAGGGTGGATAGATACTAGATTAGAGCATGATATTCATGAACAGTATTTTGCACGAAAATCACTCGTTGACTTTAGGGCTCAAGATTGCAGTTTTTTACAACTGCTTATACACGTTTTCAAAACTATGTCTCCTTATTTCAAAACTCTACACACAATTCCCAAAACTGCTCACACAAAATGTAAAATGACTCATATATCCTTCAAAATGAAACACAGCATTCAAAATGCCATAAATACAGCCCAAAATTAAGCACTTTTATCAGATTATCAGAATTATTGGGTATACCATTTACACACTGTTGTTCTAAATCTAAATCTCTTTGTCTTTCATAGGCTTCCTACAGTGTTTATATATATAGTGTACTTAAATTATGTTTTATAGTTGGTCATTCATGTAATTCATGACCATTCTCATCACAAGTACAAACACAGTGAAAATAGAAAAAAATACTCCTTTGATTTATAGATTGTGTAAATAAGATGTTTTATATTACAAAAATGGTGTATGTGAATTTGATTTGATAGATCACAGCTTGGGTAAGGTGCAGATCAAATGTGCAAATGTGACTGTGTAGCTTTCAGTTGTAGTCAACAACTTAATAATGTGACAGTTCATGTTCACGTATAGAGGAAAATTAACGGTAGTATGTTAACTGTCTACATGCTGTAGCTGTGTGTAGCAGTAATGTAGGGAACTGAGTTACAGTGGTCTTTTCTATGGTACACATTTCTCTGCATGCAGGCTTGGATTTCCTTAGTCACATGTAAGTTCACAAACACTTACCAACACAGATAGTTACAGTTTAATCATATAATTTGTGACTTGCAGCAGAGTCTGGGTTGATCCAAACTTGAATGTTAATGTCTACTGTCTTCACAATATCAATCATCAGGGCGCAGTTACTCTCTGCAGCTTTACCAAGTACTGAAGTGCGTCCTCTGGACTGGTGGTCCACTGTAAAAGGGTGAAGTCTGTCATACACCACAGGGTAATATATTTTATCGTACTTGTATCAGATGACCTGAGAATGAGGTTGTGTCTGACATGGCACCACAACACAGGTCCCCTCAACTGCAGTAACTGTTGTGGGTACAGTGATGCTCCAGATTCTCACCTCCAAGATGTGGTGGTGAGGAGGAGGGAAGGGTGGGAGGCATAGTATAGAAGCAAACAAATGTTAGTGTTGTGAATCCATGTATCGTTCGTTCTTTGATTGTTCTATTTCAAAACTGAATCGGAAAAAGTACACACGGTAGCTCCGCTTTAATCTTGAGAATCATGAGAAGCAGTCTCTATTCATCCAATTTACACTGTAAATTTCCTGCTAAACTGAGGCTTTTTGAAGACCCTTTTCTCTCTCTCGCCTATCATTCACCGGTCTTGCGCAGAGTTGCGTGTATGCCGTGCTGCCAACAAGTGCATGCACATCGCAGTTCCTCGTGGATCTATTTCAAGGAGCTGGCGATAAAATACTCTTTATGTGGTTCATCAACGGTGATAAATCCGATCTGATAGTCCCGCGAGGTGCGGATAACTCTGGACAACACCACAGAAGCTGGGGCTCGGTCTCTTCAGCAAGTGTTCCTCTTCTGCTGCTACATACACGCTACGCACTTTAAAAACATTTATTGGAAGTTTTATTCTTTTTACATGTTTATTTACAGCATTAAATGTTGAAATGTACATTGTAATAGGCTGTATATTCATTTATTGGGAGAAATCTGGTAGTTCTATGTAAAATCAGACATTGAGCACCACCATAACTATGCCATCCAAAATGGCATGATCCTTGTTTCGCTGCCAAGCTTTGACTGTAAGATTGACAGCCGAATCAAGCTCCACCTATCGAAGCATCGAATCTTTGACTATTCGGGGTCAGCTCTACTGTACATAAAAGGATAGATCAAATTACGTGTTCTGTAATACCTCTTTTGTCCTCAGGAGAGCACTGTGACTCCATGAAGAGAATTTGGCAATAAATTTAATTAGTTTTATCATTCATCTCTCATTCAATTCTTGGACTAGAAAAATGAATAATGGCTCCAATGAGATCTGTAGAACAGTATTTAAACAGGTTTAACATTTGCACTTTTGTTACTATAGATTTTAGGTTTGCTAGATGAAAGAACCTAGAAGTATCTTCTTCAAAGCACAAGGCCTGTAGAGTTTTTGACCATATCTGCTGGCCTAATCAGTTTGACACTCTGATGCAAGGAGAGAACAAAGGACTCTTTCTTTGTCTTTCTTTGGTGTGTGTGTGTGTGTGTGTGTGTCTCAATTTTGAAGGCATTTGTTTATGGTGGTTCTGTCAACCCAGAGGCTGTTAAACCTGTAGTTCATGGGAAGGTTAGGATGCCTGGATAGTGTTATACTAGCCTTAAAGTAAAGCCAGTTACTTTAAATGCGCCGGAGGTTCAGATTATGTGGATGATTTCTTTGCAACCAGCACTAAGGAGTCTTTCATGTAGCAGACCTTGTTACAACCCCTAACTACTTCGGATTTGGGGTTGGAGGGCCTTAAGTCAGGCAGGGATCTTGGTGTGAAAGACTCTGAAAAGCTGTCTGTGATGCTACAGAAACAAAGTTAACAAAAATATTGCTGTAACATACCATACTGAATGAAAGATCAATCTTCAAGAATCTATTGCAACATATAAGGAACATACATCCCCCTTTTTGTTATAGATACACTACATTGCAAAACATGTTGCGTCAGAAAAGTTGTTTTTATTGATTATCATATTATCAAACAAAGTACAGTTCCATGGTTACACAATTATTACGTTGTTATAGAAAGTGAAAAGTAACCTCACAAATAGGGTACAACAATTTTCAAATAAGTATGTTAGTAATAATTAAGAGTGAGTAATTGCTATATGTTCTATTTATGCAGGTTTAAAACAATTTTT